TGTGGGACTTCCAGATACAGACGGACAAAATGGTGGTGGCTAACCAACCGGACATAGTGGTGGTAGACAAACAGAAGAAGACGGCCGTAGTGATATTAGTAATAGTAGTAATATTCGCCTAGCTCCCAAGCTAGGCGAATATTAAATGAATATTAAACCATTTAAACCCATCTCCCTAATTTTAATTAACAGACCTTCTCTCCACATCACATCATATGTTTTTTCTATATCAAAAAGACCACCATCACACTCTCCTTGTTCCTCATTTCATATTCTAAACACACACTGGATGTGTTGCACCTCCCCCTCTTCTAAAGCCGCTGTGGTACTTCAAATCAAATATCCTTTATTTTCTACATAGTACACTCGTCTGTCATTTCTCGTTCTCTCCATTATTCTGCAGATGTTGGATGTTAAAGCTATTGCTCTGTAGTTTCCTGGCTTTGTGTCATCCTTCCCTGGTTTACGTATCAGTGTAATCACTGCCTCCTTCCAGCTTTGTGGAAACTTCCCTCCCTCACAAACTCTATGCAACTCTAATAAAACATCTTTAGTCGATTCTGTCAGGTGACTTATCGTTGGATATCAAACCTGATCTTTCCTGGTGCTGAAAGGTTGGATTACCTAAGTGAGCAGTTCTGTCTTTGTAAACAACATATTCAATGAATCCTTTGTGTCGTCTACTTGCTGCAGTCTCCTCGTTTTCTCTGCAGCTGTGATTTCTCTTCCCTTTGACCTTCACTAAGTCTTCACTTGAACTTTGAATCTGAACAAAAGTTTTTCCGTCACATCTTCTCTTCATCTTTCACGGCTATAACTAAACGCAGACACAGATTCTCTTTGTCTCTCACAGGCTGTCAGTGATCTTCAGTCTGTTTCTGACTTTGTTTCTGCTCACAGTCAGAGGGAGCTGACATATTCAACATGAACACAGATCATGAGGTTACAGAGTTATTCTGTCTGTTCTGACTTAAAGTTGTTGATGGTCAAAGATGAATGGATCTTCAGATCTGCTCGGCTGCAGTGACAGACTCTGCTGTGAGGCCCACAGTGACAGCAAACCCACAGAGATGCTCCACTAGAGGGCGACATCATCCAGTAGGCGGGGCTCTCCTTCTGCACTGTGTTCAACCATTGTGTCAATAATAAGTGCTGCTGTGAAGAGAACAATTCTCAGACTGAATGTTGAACATCAGCTAGTTTCTCCTGTTGATTTAAACCTTGTTGTACAGATGGAACATTGGCTGTGGATTATTCTTGCTGCTCTTTTCTTTGGTGAGATACAAACATCAACCTGTTTCCTCTGCTTAAATAAATGTGTGAGTCTGATTAATGGTGAGTTTTTAATCATGTTTATTGATCCATCTCTTCCTCTGCATGTTCTGTTCTTCCTCAGAGTGTAAAGGAGAAGACAAAGTGATCCAGGAACAAGGAGATGTCATTGCTGCTGAAGGAGACACAGTTACACTTCACTGCAAATACGAAACAACTTCTGCATACGCATATTTGTTCTGGTACAAACAAGAAGTTAACAAATTTCCAAAATATGTTTTAAGACGTGACACAGCATCAGAGGACAACGCTCAAGACTTCCCCAAAAACAGATTTGATGCTGAGCTCAACAAGACATCAGTTCCTCTGAAGATCCAGAAGCTTCAGCTGTCTGACTCTGCTGTGTACTACTGTGCTCTGCGGCCCACAGTGACAGGAAACAGCAAAACTCTGTACAAAAACCTTTGGAGCAAAGACAACAGAATACTCCACAACATCCACTAGAGGGAGCCACACACTGTTAAACCTCTGATTCTTGTGTCATTGGACTGATGACAAAGACAACAGAGAAATGAAGCAGTAAAGATCAGAGACAGAGACAGAGCTGCTGTGGAAGCACAAAACTGTTTGATTGGCTGATCCAATTAGTCCCATCACTTCTCTCTAAAGTCTAAAAGAAAAGTTGATGCAAACACAAAAATCATAGGACCCTGGAATGAAATGATATCAATGATACTGTCCTCTGTGCTCCAGGCCTGGTGCCTCAACAGTAGGATTGTAGACAGTAACTGCTCACCGGACTTACAGGCCATTCCAATTAGGTGTAGGTCCTTCTGTCTACCTTAGATAAGATAAGATAAGATAAGATAAGATAAAACTTTATTAATCCCTCGGGTGGGTTCCTCTGGGAAATTCTGTTTCCAAAAGCACAGCACCAACAGAAGTTACAGAATATTATATATATATACACATATATAAATACAGAGAAATATATAAATAAAATATACGAAGGGGATAAATAGAATAAAAAGAAATAAAAATAAAAAATAAAAATACAAGTGAATTGCACATTTCAAGTATTGAGTCTATTGCACTGTTGACTATTAACAAAGGTATTGCACAGTGAGGTGAAGAGGCACTACAGCTTAGTTGTTCCCCCCTCCTTTGTCCTCCTGTTTCCCCTCCCTCTCCCCTCCAGAGAGGAGTTAAACAGTCTGATGGCGTGTGGGACAAAGGAGTTTTTAAGTCTGTTAGTTCTTGTCTTTGGGAGAAGCAACCTGTCACTGAACAGACTCTTCTGGTTGTTAATGGCCGTGTGCAGAGGATGCCTGGCATTGTCATAATGTCCATCAGTTTCTTTAATGTCCTTTTCTCTGCCACTGTCACCAGAGTGTCCAGCTTCATGCCGACCACAGAGCTAGCCCTCCTGATCAGTTTCTCCAGCCTGGATGAGTCCTTCTTTGCTGTGCTGCTCCCCCAGCACACCACAGCATAGAAAAGTACTCCAGCAACCACCGACTGGTAAAACATCCTCAGGAGCTTCCTGCAGATGTTAAAAGACCTCAGCCTCCTGAGGAAGTACAGTCGGCTTTGGGCTTTTTTATACAGGTGCTCTGTGTTGCATGACCAGTCCAGTTTATTGTCCACCCACAGCCCGAGGTACTTGTACTTGTTGACCACCTCCACCTCCTCCCCCTCTATCTGAACCGGCAGTGGACCTGCTCTAGACCTCCCGAAGTCCACAACCAGTTCCTTAGTCTTTGAGGTGTTGAGTTGCAGGTGGTTTGTGTGACTCCATGCGACAAAGTTCCTCACCAGACTTCTGTACTCCTCTTCCTGATCATCCCAGATACACCCCATGATGGCTGTGTCATCTGCAAACTTCTGAATGTGGCATAATTCAGAGTTGTAGCAGAAGTCAGAGGTGTACAGGGTGAAGAGAAGAGGGGACAGCACAGTTCCCTGTGGTGCTCCTGTGCTGCTGACCACTGTGTCAGACGTGATGTCCTTCAGCCTGACGTACTGTGGTCTGTCGGTGAGGTAGTCGGAGATCCAAGCCACCAGGCAGGGGTCCACCTCCATCCTGTTCAGTTTTCCTGAAGCATACAGGGCCGGATGGTATTAAAGGCACTGGAAAAGTCAAGAAACAGGATCCTGACCGTGCCTTTTCCCCCATCCAGGTGTGAGTGGGCTCTATGCAGGAGGTACAGGATGGCATCCTCCACTCCGACACCCGCCTTGTATGCAAACTGTAGTGGGTCCTGGGCATGTTGTACCTGTGGTCGGAGGAGGTTGAGGAAGAGCCGCTCTAGAGTCTTCATAAGATGTGACGTCAGTGCCACCGGTCGGAAGTCATTCAGCTCGTTGGACCGGTTGTTTGGGGACCGGGACGATGCAGGATGTCTTCCAGAGGGCGGGCACTCTCCCCAGTCGCAGACTGAGGTTGAAGACTCGTTGTAGCGGCTCCCCAAATTCAGCAGCACACGCCTTTAGCATCCTTGGACACACCTAGTATGGCTAACTGTAGCCATACTTACCATTGTTTACATCACCCCTGATGCTGAGGTGAGCTCAACACTCAATCACCTCCAACTTGTTATCAGCAGCGAGAGCACTCTGTTGTTGTCGGGGACTTTCATGAGGCATGTTTGAAATCTGCACTCCCCAAATTCCACCAACATGTTGAAGGTCCTACCAGGGGACAGGACCCTGGACCACGCTTGCAGAGCGACACCCCTCTCCCACCTGGGTGTCCTGGTCCTGCTCAGTGACCCAGTGTTTTATGTTGGTTATTATTAAGTCTTTTTGTCTTATTTTGAATCTCTAGTCTTTGGTTTCTGTCTGTGTTCCCTGTCAGACATATCCCCTTGTCAACTCCGTGTCTCTGTGTCGTTTCCCGTTTTACTTCTGTGTCCTACATCACTGCTCTGCTTTGCGTCCATTGTCTCGTTGTGTGTTCTAATCTTTGTGAGGAGAGAAACTGGAGAGAAGCTGCAGATGTCGGCCAGGACGTGCCCGTTGTCTCTGTGTGGATACAATCCAACAGGAAAGGACTGAAAGAAACAGCTGGAATCCAGATCTTCTTGACTTTATAGTCCCACATGTCAAAAATGTTCAGGGAACAAGACAAAACGTTCACTGTGCTGGCCTTGGTTGCTCCTCTGCTGTAACTTGCTCTGATTTCTACCTGTGGGCTCCGCGGGCAAAATCTTCTAATCATTCCAAGAACCAGAGGCAGTGGCAGCTCCAAAAGGTCCCGGGTGCCTTCTTTTACACTTCTTTGCCGTTTTGCCTCCCCCACTCGCTCCTCTGGACATGACAGCTTCTGAGATTACATCTGGTCTCATCCACTGTGACATCCAATCACTGCTGCTGACGTCTATCGACCGATGTCCAGCTTATCATCCTCTCTGAGTTTATTACATACATGACTTAAAACAAAGCTTAAACTTTGAAATCACTTCATCTCATTTTCTTCTTTTCGATGTTTTACTTCACATAATTTGCCAAGATTTCAATCACACATGAAGGTTCAGTCAGATATGAATATTTTATGGACATAAATATGATTTAATTAATTTATCATGAAGTCCGTCTCACATGAACAGATCTCCTTAATTCAGTTATGTAGGAATACTCTCTCACTCTTTCACTTCAAAACGATAAATCTAACTTTCTCTGAACACTACAGACCTCAGGACGCTCTGTGCTGTTTACATTGTTTTTGCTGCTCCCTCCTCAAACACATCTGGATAATGAGCAGAGTGAACATGTTTATGTGGTTCATAGTGATGCATGTCAGAGTTCACATGGATGAATGATGCTTGGATCTGTGAATACAATGTTGTACAGCAGTCCAGCTTCCTGTGGCTTAGTTCATCAGACTTTGGACCATTTCAGATCTTAAGGGTACGAATGCACTGCAACATAGCCAGACTTCCTTTATGTTAACTGACTCAAGAAAACCTAAAACCCCAGTCAGAGAAAACGGTGTCATTACGGTGGATGTGAACTTTTGATTTAAGCTTTGATGATGATATAATGATAAAACATCTATAAAAACATCAAAAATACTAATAAAAAGCATCACAGCTGAAAGTATCACAAAAGATTAATGCTGAAGAAAGCTGTTAATCTGGTGATTTAGTGCATTGAGCAGTAAAATAAACATTTTAATGTGATAATTATTTTCTCTTTGAGTGTGCGCTCAGCTCTCATTAGAGCTCTGAAACGCTGAACTGGACCCAGTTAAACATTAAAGCTTACAGTCCCAAAGCCTGACCTAAGATTTGCTTTAGTCTGCAGCAAACAAATTCATTTTATTGTTTTTGTAATAGCTGCAATTCATCCATCCACACATCTTCTTCCACTTATCCGGGGCCGGGTGGCAGCGACAGCAGCCTAAGCAGAGAAGCCCAGACCTCCCCCAGCCAAGAGATACAGGCTACGTCCACACTAATGCGCTTTTGTTTTAAAACACATTGTTTTCTCTCCATTTTGGCCTCCTGTCCACACTGAGACGGCGTGTTCACTGATGGAAAACGCAGCGTTTTGAAAACGCTCTTGAAAACGGTGCTTTCACGCCGCAGTGTGGACAGTGAAAACGGAGACTTTCTAAAACGAGCCGCAGCACCAGTCCACCGGTCGATCTCCCGCTCTCTTCTCCCGTCACAAGTTACCATGGTGATGTAGCCAGGTAAAAAAAGAACACGTGTGATGAAAACGTCTGACCTTTACAACAACATGTGTGACTTTTTTACATGTGCCGAAAAAACATTACGATGTCTGAAAGCTTCCCCGCATGTTTCACAACGATATGGTTTCTCGCCTGTGTGAATTCTTATGTGATCTCTTAAATGAGAGTGACATCTGAACCATTTCCCACACGTTTTGCATTGATATGGTTTCACACCTGTGTGAATTCTGGTGTGCGTCACTAAATTACGATTGCTTCCAAACTTTTTCCCACATGTTTTACAAGTATATGGCTTCACATCGGAGTGCGTTCTTAGGTGCTTCTTCAAAAAGCTGCTGCATCTGAACATTTTTCCACACACTGTACAAGCGAACGGTCTCTCACCTGTGTGGATTGAATAATGATCCTTCATTTGATAATTAAACTTGAAGGTTTTTCCACAAACATCACATTTTAAAGACTTACTACTTTTATCAAAGTTACAGTGACTCTCTGACATAGCGGGATTTTCTGCATTGTTGTGACTTTTGTGTCTTTCTCTACTTGATCTTGAATCTGCGTTCTTGTTTCCTCCCAGATCTTGACTGTCAGCTACAGCAAAGTTGTGAGTGAGGAGCTGCTCCCTGCCTGCTTCTGGTTCACTGTGCTCTCCTTCCTCAGCAGCAGTCACCATGAAGGTATCCGTCTCCTCCTTCAGTCCCAGCTGCTCTCCCTCCTGACTGCTGCACAGTTCCTCCTCTTCCTCTTTAATCTGTGGAGCTTCTGGTTCCTCCTGCTCCACACTGGAGCTCCTCTCCTGGTTCCAGAGCTGCTGCTCAGGGAGAACCTCCTCCTCCTCTTCCTTACAGACAGGCTGCTGTGGGACGTCTGGAGGGACAGAAGGAGATAAGAAAAAGAAAAATGTGGTAGAAAATCATCTGAGTAACTATTACTAATAAAGTATAATAATAAAGGAGAATGGCCACAAATTCAGGCTGCGAGAGTGAATTGTCCCACTCCAGAATAAAGCTCATCAACAGAGGGACATCAGCAGTAAGGGCAGAGCGAGGATGAACTACCAGCTGCTGTAGAAAGGCTGTAATAAATATCCTGCAATGAGCTGATAAATAACCGGCGAGGTCTCAATGGATCCTAATCTGTAAGATGAGGGTTAAAAACTGAGAAGCTGAATAATTCACTGAACTAAGTAAAAATAAGTTGCTGACAAACGTTACTAAATGGAAGCAGGTGCAACAAATCAAACGTGAGTTACATCCAACATTCTCCAGCATGTTTATAATCACAGGAAACAGAACTTTTGACCTTCTCGATTCATCTCCATAATGTTCACCATAACTGCGGTGATCCTTTGTTCATTATGTGCTGCTGGCTTTTGGGTGGCTCTCAGCACATTCTAGCTTTAGCTTCAACCACTTTGCCTTTGTTAGCTTCTTTTAAATGACCATAGGTTTTTTTATTAAGCATGTTTTCATGGACACGCCCTAATAGCTGGTCAAAGGAGCTTGCAAAGAAAAGCGTCTGGACTTCTTTAAGTTGCTTGAAGACGTTTCACCTCTCATCCGAGAAGCTTCTTCTGTTCTAAGGTCAAATGGTGGAGAGTCCCAGATATAAACCTAGTGGGAGTTTCCCCCCACAGAGGGACAAAAGGACCCCCTGATGATCCTCTCATAATCCTCTCAGCCCTAATAGCTGAACTAAGGGGAAGTTTGCATCTTCACTCACAGTGAAAAGCTTCCAAGCTAACAGCATGTTAGCATGTGACAATTTGGCTAAACCACTGTCTATGGCCAACTGCAGCCCGCGGGCCATTTTTAATTGATTAATTTAATTTATAAATAGCATAGAATAAGGCCACACTTCAACTTTTGCTTGAGTGTATTGCACTTCTTCGTTTTAACACCAGGGGGAGCTACTGTTGATCAAGGCAGTTGCTCCACCAAAAAGGACAATCACAGAAGAAATTTACCCCAAGTTACTAAACAGGTCAGAACCAAAGAAGCCAAAGGTAGAAAGTGAGTGCAGAAAATTTCAGACACGGTGGGAGAGTGAATATTTCTTCAAAGAATTCAAGGGGAAGTGTGTCTGTTTGATCTGCACTGAAACTGTGGCAGTTATGAAAGAGTATAATGTGCGACGTCATTATGAAACCAAACATCAGGCCTGTGCATCCGACACTAGTGCTGAGTCAGAGCAGACATTAACTCTCCTGCAGGGTCAGCAGCAGTATTTATTTCGTGCTCGAAAGGTCCAGGAAAAGGCTCCGATAGCCGCTATGAGGTCGCCCAACTCATCGCGAGACATGGCGAGCCTTTTTCAGATGGAGACCTCATAAAACACGGCCTCGTTAAAGTCACCGAAATAATGTGGGAAAAGTGCAGAACTTCAACAACGTCAGCGTGTCCAGAAATCCAGTCGTGCGACGCACTGAAGACTCGTCGGCCAACATTAAACTGCAGCTGTCTGACAAAGCTGTGCTTTTGATTTTGACTCCATCGCATGTGACGAGAGCACCGACGCCACAGACGCCGCACAGCTGCTATTTTTTGCGGGGAGTGGACGAGAGCACGAGCGCCTTAGGTGAGTAAAACTATATTCCACAGTACCCGTGTGTTAATGTGCAGATACACATGCTTCAAATATCAGTAATGCGCATCGATTCTGTCACCACTCTGCTTTTGTGCACCACTTTCTTATCTGCGTTTTCCTTGTTAACACACAGAGCACACACCGCTGTGCACAGCGCACGCAGTCAGCTGATCTCATCTGATGCACATCTGCTCCTTGATCAAGTGACATTTGTCCGGGTTTTTGGCACGAGTGGCGTCGGATCAGCACCGCGGCTGGACGGCCCGATTTACAAACCCAGCGCAGCTGATGCTCACCAGAATAATCTACTAAAATGATGCACTCCTGTTATTAAGCCCAGTTCAGTCTGTTAATGTTGATAACTGTTTCAAACGGACGTTAACAGGTGTGTTGCTGAGCCTAATAACTTAAATAACAAGCTTTATTTATTGCTTTTTCTCTGTGCTGTAAATCTTCAGTCCAAGAAGAAATCTGAGGCTGCTGTGAGAACGAGCTACCAAAGCTTTTTCTGGACAAATCAACAAAGATCCGTTTATGGAAAGATGGGATGAAGGCAGTTTTGTCTTTAATTATATTCAACAATATAACATATTTGACCACTTTTAAGTGATTTTTCTAACTTTAATACAGTAAAGTTAAGGTTATATACCTCATTTCTAGTAACTGGCCCCGCCCCTCCTATAGTTTTATGTATGTGGGCGTCAGTGAAAACGTTTGGACACGCCTGGTTTAAAAAATTCAAATTTTATTTGTCACGTACATACACATACACAGTACGATATGCAGTGAAATGCTTGGACAACTGCTCGTGACCTAAAGAAAACAAAAAAGGAAAAGGCTATGAATAAGATAGGAAATAAATATGAAAAATTAAAAAGGGTAAATTTAACTAGGAAGGATTAAAATATAAATTAAGGTTAAAAAT